TTTTTTAACCCTCTTCTAAACCTGAAGTATCACACTTCCCATCACCCACAGCCAGTACGCCTCTTCATTTCTCTTTGGTTTCCTGCCTCCCCGCAGGGAAAGCTTCCACCTGCCTGTCCCTCCATCTATTTTTCTCCTATTTTTTCTCCTTCTCACTTTCTTTCCTTTTAGGTTCCGTCATGTCTGAAGGGGCCGATTCCCAGCCGGTGGCTTTGGGGGCATCCCGGGTCGAACTTCGGGTCTCCTGCTGGAGCCTGCCGGAAAGAGAAGCCAACATTAAACCTGATCCATGCCTGATTATCCAGCTGCTCAGCGATGGACAGTGGAACGAGGTACGGCGTTAAAAAACAAAAAAATTCTTGGCATTGACAACATTCTAGTTGGTCAATTGCAAAAAAAAATGTCTCACGTTCTTTGATTTCATGCATAGAAGATAGTCCTTGACTTACAACTTTTAATTTGTGACCGTTTGAAGTTACGATGGCAGTGAATAAAGGGACTTACAGCCGTTTGTCACACTTAACGACCGTTGCAGCCTCCCCCAAGGTCACGTAGTCTAAGATTCAGAGGCTCGGATGCTGACTCGTAGTTATGACAGTGACAGCGTCCCAGGCGAGGAACGCGTGATCCCCTTTTGCGACCAGCAGACGAGCAAAAGTCAATGGAGAAGCCCGATTCACTTAACAATGGTGTGACTAACTTAACAACTTTAGCAATTTGCTTAACAACCGTGGAAAGAAAGGTCATAAAATGGAGCAGAACTCACTTAAAATCTTACTTAGCAGCAGAAATTTTGGGCTCAGTCATGGTGGTCGTAAGTCGAGGACTACCTGCATCCCACCAATGTTTAATGGACAACGAAAGAAAATAGGTTTTGTTTTAATTTACTGCTCCTCCAAAAACAGGCTGGCTGGGGAATTCTGGGAGTTGTAGTCCGCCGGTCTTAAAGTTTCTTAAAGTTGGGAGAAACACTGTTTTGCAAGATTATAAGCATCAAATTTTTAAAAAAAACACACACCAGTAAATGTGATATTCAGCTTTAACAGCACAGCCGAATCAAACCTCTCACCTTTACCAAAAACATCTTCCAGCTTTTCTCCCAAGCAGGAACCCCTCTTTCCAGTTTTCTGGCACCCACCTCTCCTTTCCTCCCCCCAGGTGGGGCGCTCGGAGGTCCTGCACGGCGCCCAGAACCCCGTTTTCGCCCATGTCTTTGCCCTGGATTACTTCTTCGAGGAGATGCAAAATTTGAAATTCGAGATCTTTGATGCTGATGGAGAAAGTGATTCTGACCTAGCCTGTGAGTCTGAGATGCTGATGGGCACCACCGAATGCTCCCTGGGGCAGGTAGGAGGGGAATCTGCCTGGGGTGGTCTGTGCGTCTGTCCCGTCATCCATCCATCCATCTCTCTCTCTCTCTCTCTCTCTTCCTCCCCCCCCCCCTCTCGTTCTCTCTAGCTCTCTGTCTGTCTCTGTCTACCTACTAACCTACCTGTCTGTCTATCTATCTGACTGTCTGTCTGCATCTATCTATCTATCTATCTATCATCTATCATCTATTTATCTATCTAAATCTATCTTTATTATCTGTCTAGCTATCTAGCTATATATGTATTGTCTATCATCTATCTATCTATCTGTATCTATATTTATTATCTATCTATCTAGCTATATCTATATTATCTATCATCTATCTATCTATCTATTTCTATCTATCTATACCTATGTATCTATCTTTATTATCTGTCTATCTATCTATATTATCTCTCTCTCTCTCTCTCTATTATCTATTTATCTATCTAAATCTATCTTTATTATCTGTCTAGCTATATCTGTATTATCTATCATCTATCTATATCTATATTTATTATCTATCTATCTATCTATCTATCTATCTATCTATCTATCTATCTATCTATCTATCATCTATCTATCTTTATTATCTGCCTGTCTATCTATCTTTCTATCTATCTCTATCTCTTTATTATCTCTCTATCTCACTATTTATCTATCTATCTATTTATCTATTATCTATTTATCTATATCTATCTATACACACACACACAAACACACACACTCTATCATCTATCTATCATCTATCATTTTCCTATCTTTCTATCCATCCATCCATTCATCCATCCATCCATCCAAACATAAATTCTATCTTTTCATCTCCAGATTGTCTCCCAAACCAAGGTCACCAAGGAGCTGGTGTTGCCAAGTGGAGAGATTTTGGAGAATTCAACCATCACGGTAGATAAATCCAGGGGAAGGGGCAGGAGGGAAAGGGGAAATAACCTTAATTTTAGGGAAGACCAAGGGGAAACCAAGGATAATTCAGAGGGGTGGGGGAAAAGACAGGAGACACGGCCTAATGCAGGGAATTGTAGGAGTGATGGAAGCAGCATGATCTGATGGGTGAAAATTTATTTTAATAAATAAATAATAGGATAAAAAATAATAACATAAATAATAATAATAATAATGCGATGTGTTGGGACCATAAGTCCCATAACAGCTAGGTGAAGCTGCCCTTTTATGCCCCCAGTGTCATCCTCTGGGAATCAACATTTAGCTTTCTCTCCCCGTGTGCAGCTTGGCTTACTTACAAGAGTTGTCTATTCTGACTTTTGGAAACTGGAGAGCAGATTCTTCTCATAATTTTGCAAATATTTACAATCTGCCTTTCTGGACATGGTTTGTACTCCCTTCTGCTCTATTTTATCTGCACCACAACCTTGTAAGGTAGCATCGGCTGTGTGCTTCAAAGGAAAAATAGGGATTTGAGTCAGACTGTTCCTGATCTCAACTTATGACCGTTGTCAACCCCTGGTGTGCAGAAATTGAAGCCCCACGGATTCCAATACAGGGTGGGAGCTACGTAGGAGGCTTAGTTCAACTGAATAATATCTCAGAATATATTAAGTTGTTTAGTAAAATCAAATATCACTGAGAAAAGTTAACAAGGATGCAACTAAACTACAACCTTCATTTCGCCACCATTAAAAGTGACCACGGAACTGAAAAAAAAAGATGCTTACAAATCGGTCCTCATACTTATGACCATTGCAGCATCCCTGTGATCACATGATCAAAATCCAGACACTTGGCAACTGGCATGTACTTATGACGGTTGCAGTGTTCCGGGGTCATGTGATTGCCATTTGTGGCTTCTGACAAAGTCAGTGAGGGGAAAAGCTGGCGGGGCAATTCACTTAATGACTGCAATGATTTGCTTGGCCACTGTGGCAAAATGGTCGTGATTTCCAGCGTGACTCGCTTAACAACTCCCTAACAGAAATTCTGCTCCCAGTTGTGGTCGTAAGTCGAGGACTACCTGTATTGATTTGAAGAAAATGGTAGGCAAGTTATCTTGGTGTTTTTCCCTCTCTTGACATGAACTTTTTGGGGTCCTTTTTATTGGCAGATCGAAGCTGAAGAGGTCTCCCGTACCAACAAGTTTGTACAACTGGAATTTAGTGGTCAAGAACTGGATGACAAGGTAAGAGAAAGGATAAAAAACTAGAAAGCAGTTCCTAGAAAATGAACATAAAATACGAGATTATATGCAATGTAATTGTAATGGAAGACTACGAAATGGAAGCACAAAACAATTTGTAAACCAACCGGCACACTGTATGTACACATATGGAAGATGGCTTGATGTTTTTATGTTTTGTTTGTTTATGTTTGTTTTTAAAAACCAATAAAAACTTAAAAAAACAACACTGAGAATAAACCTTCAAAACTCAGTTTGACCTGCATGTATGATCTGCAGCCCCATGTAGATCCCAGGACTCTTTGGCTGGGAAGAGAGCTGTGTAACTTAGAAATTGGTGGCATTTTAAATCAGACATTGCTTCATGAATTATTGCTTCTTCAACAAGGAAGGATAAATGAGGAGGTTAACAGAATAAAAGAGTCGGAAGGTACCTCAGAGGTCTTCTAGTCCAGCCCCCTGTTCAAGCAGGAGGCCCTGTACCATTTCAAACCAGTCTCTTCTTAAAAACTTCATCCGGGGATTGAAGCACCCACAACTTCTGGTGGCAAGCCGTTCCACTGATTAATTGTTCTAACTGTCAGGAAGTTTCCCCTCCATTGCAGGTTGCGTCTCTCCTCAATCAGTTTCCATCAGTTGCTTCTTCTCCTGCCTTCAGGTGTCTTGGAAAATAAATTGACCCGCTCTTCGTTGTGGCAGCCCCTCAAATACCAGGAGATTGCTATCATGTCCCCCCGCCGCACACCCCAGTCCTTTTTTTCTCCAGACTGGCCATACCTAACTCCTGCAACTGTTCTTCATATGTTATTTTGTTTCCCCGGCCTTTAAATCTGGTCTTCTTTTTAAATTTAGTCTCCAGGCCTGAGAAGTTTTAAATCAGACATTATCTCAGGGGTTATTGAGGTGAATAGGTCTTCTAGTCCAACCCCTGGTTCATGAGATCCTATATCATTTCAGATGTACAGTCTCTTCTTAAAAAAATCTCCAGTATTGGAGTATTTACAACTTCTGAAGGCAAGCTGTTCCACTGATTAATTTTTCTCACTGTCGGGAAATTTCTCCTTAGTTCTAGGTTGAATGTCTCCTTAATCTATTTCCATCCATTATTTCTTGTCTGGCCTTTGGATGCTTTGGAGAATAGCTTGACCCCCTCCTCCTCTCTGTGGCAGCCCCTCAAATATTGGGATACTGCTATCATGTCACCTTCTTTTCATTAAAGTACTAGGCATACCCAAATCCAGCAACCGTTTGTTTTAGCCTGCAGCCTCCTAATTATCTTGGAAGCATTCAATTTGTTTAGATTACATTAAATTATCCTCACTGCCCCCAATTTCTTGTAGCTGGATCTGCTTGGTTATCTAAAGCGATTGTGTGAATCTTGCCAGCATGCAAATTCTTCCTCTGCTGCTATGAATGAATCTCTTATGGATTTCCTCCAAACTTTAGATGGCTCCCAGTTGTGCAAAGAATATATTTATTTTTACAACGAACTTGAGGTTACGTAACAAAGCACAGCATCTTTCACAAACAGCTTTCTTAGACATGTTTCCCCAAGTGGCCTCAGAGCAATCTTTCTCAACCGTGGCTATTTTAAAATGGGTGGATTTCGATTCCCAGAATTCATCAGTCAAGGCTGGGGGATTCTGGGAGTTGAAGTCCACCCATCTTAAAATAGTTCAGCCATCTTGCTAAAACACTGTCCATACTTAGAAGCATTCCAGATCAGTGTTTTTCAACCTGGGCCACTTTATGAGGAGACAGATTTCAACTCCCAGAATTTCTCGGTTAAGGCTGAAGGATTCTGGGAGTTGAAGTCTACCCATCTTAAAATGGTTGGTCTCCCCTGCTAAACACTATTCATGCTTAGAAGCATTCCAGGTCAGTGTTTTTCAACCTGGACCACTTTATGAGGGGGCGGACTTCAACTCCCAGAATTCATCAGTCAAGGCTGGAGGATTCTGGGAGTTGAAGTCCACCCATCTTAAAGTGATCCCGGGGGGAAAACATTGCACCGTTATGATCCCCTTAAACAGGATTATCTGTCAAGAGCCGGCAAGCACAGCCCGCTGCTTCTCACCATCGGAGAAGCTGTCAATCGTACCCGCGTTCATTTCTGTGCCGCCGTTGTCCATCCTTTCTTCGTTTCGCAAGGTTGTGAGCTGCTGGTGTGATGCAGCTGCGTCAGTTTCTGGATGCCCTATTTAATTCAGCCAGCCTGTTTTCCTGCGGATTTCCCAGGGGGGCTGAGCTCATTTGGAGGAAACCTGCTCTCCGCAGGACTTTAAAAAATGCTATTTTTTTTTTGCACTGCTGGGTGAAAATTGTTTTCCAGCCCTTCTGAAATCAGCAAAACGTGACGCCTGCGTACGTTTAACTATTCCCTCCCTTTCCGTTCTCTCTCGCTCCTCTCCCACACAAAATCAGGAGAAGAATAGCTAAATGTTTTGCCTATCTCGAGGCTGAGCTCAGAGAACGACTGAATAAGGAATAAATAAAATACAGGCAGTCCTCGACGTATGACCACAATTGAACCCAAAATTCCTGTAGCTAAGCGAGGTGCTTTGTTCTGTGAATGTGGCTTTTCTTGTCACTTCTTTAATGAATCACTGCTAGTGTTACGTGATTCACACGGTCGTTAAGCGAATTGGGATTCCCTCTCGAGTTGGCTCGTCGGAAGGTCGTAAAAGGGGATTGTGTGACGCCGGGACACTGCAAACCATTGTAAAGAGGAGCCAGTGGCCAGGCAGCTGAATTTTGATCGCGTGACTGCGGGGATGCCGCAAGGGTCGTAAGCCTGAAAAAAACGGCCATAAGTCACTTTTTTCCCATGCCGTTGTAAATTCGAACAGTCACTAAATGAACTGTTGTAAGTCGAGGACTAGTGGTATTCTTTAACAGCAGACTAGCTGTGGAAGACTTTAAGGTTTATTCCTAGGCTGGGAACCCAGCAGAAAAACAGGCAGTCCTTGACCTATTCACTTAGTGACCATTCAAAATTACGATGGACTGAAAAAATGACTTACTCTATGACCGTTTGGCACACTTTAACCGTTGCAACATCCCAACAGTCGTGTGATCAAAATTCAGTCTTGCTGGGCTACTGACTCGTATTTATGACGGTCGCCATGTCCCGGGGTCACATGATCCCCTTTTGCGACCTTCCGACGAGCGAAGTCCACGGGGAAGCCGGATTCGCGTAACAATGGTGTGACTCGCTTAACGACTGCAGTAGTTCACTTCACAACGGTGGCAAGCAATGTCTCACTTAGCGACAGAAACGTCGGGCTCAGTTGTGGTCGTAAGATGAGGATTGCCTTTAAGAAAGGTTGCAAGGATGTGTTAGAGGACCTTAAAGGACCTCTGGTGTGGCGTGTGTGAGAACAGCTGGTGTGGTATCAAATCCAGATTGCTATGATTTGGCTCCCCTGGGTGTCACAAAATGGCTGCTTAGCCATAACTCTCTGAAAAATTGCTTTCCTTTTTTCTCTTTTCCAGGATTTCTTCAGCAAATCCGATCCTTTCCTGGAAATATATAAAGTTACCGCTGGCGAGTCAGAGAATCTGGTTTGGAGGACAGAGGTGAGGCTATTACAAGGCCCCTCCAGAGAATTTGATGGGAGGGATTTAAAGAAAAGATGGGGAGGGAGGAATGAAAATATAAAAAATTAACAGAGGCTGGAACGGAGTAAAGAGACGCTTTGCAAACCTCTCAGCAGGCTGATCAGTTTAACCAGCTGTTGAAATAGCTCCGTTCGATCTAATTAACGTTTTAGAAATATATTCGCCTTTTGTGATTTGAATGATTTCAACGCTGCAAAACGCCCAGTGTCATTTCAAAATGAGATGGCCAGCAAATAAATTTTTAAAAGAAAGTAAAGTATATAAAATAATCTGAATTTTATATTATTTTTATCTTTTGTGATTGTAAGCTGTTCAGAATTATTCTGAAGTAAGATGGGCAGCCAATAAATTAGCTAGCTAGCTGGATGGATGGATGGATGGATCGATCGAAAGGAAGCAGGGGTGGGATTCTACCGGTTCGCACCTATTCTCTAGAACCGGTAGTTAACCTTCTAAGCAGTTCGGAGAACCAGTTGTTAGAAGAAATTACTGGCCTAATCCTGTAAGGAAGGCAGGAAGGAAACATTCTGGTGTTGCTTACAGAAACTGCCTCTCTGTTAACCCTTATTACATTCTTGGCAGGACTAGTTTTCCTGTCTCAGGAACGTCTCTGGAGTTTCCCCCCCTCCTTTTCTGCTACTTTGCTTGTGTGGAGTGACCATTGAAAAAAGTGACTTATGACCGTTTTTGTGACCAACAACTGTTGCAGCATCCCCACAGTCACAAGAGGCCAGGCGAGAAGATGCATGCCTCGATGTGAGTGATGTTGAGTTGGCCACGCCCAGCCAGTAAAATGACCATCAAGCCATGTCCACCCAGTCACATGACCACCAAGCCACGCCAACCAACTAAGCCACGCCCACAGAACCAGTTTTAAAAATTGTTAAAAAATTTGAATCCCACCCCTGAAAGGAAGGAAGGAAGGAAAGGAAGGAAGGAATAGGTGGGTAGATAGAATAGAAAGAAAGAAAGATATAGATAGGTGGGTAGATGATAGAAAAAAGAAAGAAAGAAAGAAAGATATAGATAGTTGGATAGATGATAGAAAGAAAGAAAAAAGAGAAAGAAAGGATAGATATATACAGTAGATACAGATAGGTAGACAGAAAGATTGATACATAGATATAGGTAGGTAGGTAGGTACGTATATAGGTAGGCGGGTGGGTGGATAGATAATAAATTTAAAAAACTGCAAGTAGTCCTTGATTTTATAACCGTTCATTTAGTGATTCTTTTCAAAGTTACGTGAAAAAAGTGACTTACGACTGGTCCTTGAACTTACGACCATTTCATCATCCCTACAGTCATGTGATCAAATTTGGCCACTTGGCAACTGCCCTGTTTTTATGACAGTTCCAGTATCCCAGGGTCATGGGATCCAACAGCTGGAAAGCCAGATTCATTTAACGACTGCTGGATTCACTTAACAACTTAACTTGCAGAACAACTGTCGCCTGAGTAGTAAAATGGGATGGGACTCATCTAATGACCTAGCCCAGAAATGAAAATTCAATCAATTGTGACTGCCTGTAGCTATATTTTAAAGTTATTTTTTAAAAGAAATTATTTTTTACACTTATGGGGCTGCATGGAATTGGTAAATGAATAAAAGGAAATAAATTGACTCCAATTTTATTCAAGGAATTTGCACTCATGCCGTTCAAAAAAATGAGGAAAACCAATTTATCAATGAGACCAATAGATCTTTAAAGAATTCTACATTATGGAAAAGCAAAAAGTTGTGATTTGATGTTCATGCTTTATTTTACTGTGACAGAGAGAGTTGGAGCTCAATACTCCTTTTTCTTTTTCTTTCCCCTATTTTTCCTCACTTCTCTTCCCCCTTTCCTCTCCCTGCTGCTTTTTTCTATTTACTCTGTATTTTGTATTTTATAATACTTTATAACTCAATAATTTTTTTTTAAATGAGGAAAACCTCAAGCGAAGCGAGCCAGAAGGGAAAAGAGATAATAAAATGCAAAATCTGGGTGGACCTCAACTCCCAGAATTCCCCAGCCAGCACAGCTTCACCCTCCTTCTTTCTTTCCTCCTTCCCTCCTTTATATTTCTTTCCTTTTTCTTCTTCTTTTCTTCCTCCCTCCCTTCCTTCCCTATTTCCTTCCTTCTTGTTAAGTGAAGTTAAGTGAAGTGAGCCAGAATGGAAAAGAGATAATAAAATGCAAAAACCCAGCCTCCTTCTAATAAGAAGAAGAACATATAGATTTTACGGCTTGCTTAGGTAATGGCCCCTTTTCAGATTTTGTAGTAGGAAACTTGGTGATTTTTAACAGCCACCACAAAAAAATCTGTGAAGCTAAGCTGAAAAGAAAAGAGGACAGCCAAAGGGATAGGTGCTTCAGTTTAAAAGGGGGGGGGGGAATGACAATTTCTTTGGGTTCACATTTTTGTAAATCTCTCTCCTGACGTTTGGGTGGGTGGGGGTTGGACTAGATGACCTACAAGGTCCCTTCCAACTCTGTTGATATCCGTTTTGTGTACCAGGTGGTGAAGAACAACCTCAGTCCTCAGTGGCAACCGTTCCGAATTTCTTTGCAATCGTTGTGCAGTTGTGATCCTGAACGGCCTATACGGGTAAATTTCTTCCGAGATTTATTTTTTTAAAAAAATGAACATTAAGGAACTGGGGATGAACTGAGTGCAAAATATCGATTTCAAATGTTTTGGCTGTGTGAAAGTCCATCATGAAAAAAGTTTGTTTTGTTCTAGATATCAATATAAAAGGATTTAAATCTGTGTTTTCCCAAGGTGGCAAGTTTAAGTCGGATGGACTTCAACTCCCAGAATTCTGGGAGTTGAAGTCCACAAGGCTTAAACTTGATAAGTTAGAGAAAACCTCCGTTAGACTTGAAAATAAACTCAAATTACCAGAATTCATCTTGGCAAGTTGAGGAAAAACTGTATTAGATCTGAAAATAATCTCAAATTACAACAAACGATTAGGAAAAAACCAAGGAAGCGATTCAGTAAACAGAACCAATTTCCCATCTGTTTTATTTCTCTGATCCCAGAGGGGGGGTTAAAAAAACCGCATGAAACCTGGCTTTTAATTGGATTTGAAGGCAGTTTCTTTTGGAAGGTACCTGGAGGAGCAAATTCTGCCCTGTATTTCAGACTCTGTCATTTTCCCTCTTTTCCAGTGCGTGGTTTACGATCATGACTCCAGTGGAAAGCATGATTACATTGGAGAATTCAGCACAAATTTTCAAGAGATGTTGCAGGCTTCCTCTGGAGAAGAGGTAATGGGAATTGGTGGGAGTGAGGGAAGGAAGGAAGAAAAGAAGGAAGGGAAGGGAAGGGAAGGGAAGGGAAGGGAAGGGAAGGGAAGGAAAGAAAGAAGGAAGGAAGGAAGGAAGGAAGGAAGGAAGGAAGGAAGGAAGGAAGGAAGGAAGGAAGGAGAGAGAAGAAAGGGAGGGAAGAAGGAAATAAAGGAACAGAAGAGGAAGAGAGGTAGGGAGGAAAAGAAGGGAGATGGGCAAGAAAGAAAAAAGAAAGGCGGGAGGGAGGGGGGAAGGAAGGAATGAGAGGGAGGGAAGAAGGAAATAAAGGAACAGAAGAGGAAGGGAGGGAGGAAAAAGAAGAAAGTGAGAGAGGAAAAGAAGAAGGAAGATGGACAAGAAAGAAAAAAGAAGGGAAGGAGGGGGGAAGGAAAGAGAAGGAAATAAAGGAACAGAAGAGGAAGGGCGAAATGGAGGGAGGGAGGAAAGAAGGAAGAAGGGCAAAAAAGAAAAAGAAAGAAAGGAGGGAAGGAGGGAAGAAAGAGAGGAAGGAGGGAAGAAGGGAGAAAAGGATGGAGAGAGGGAGGGAGGGAAAGAACAAAAAGAGAAAATTGAAGGACGGAGGGAAGGAAGAAATAGAGAAAAAGGAAGGAAGGGAGAAAGGGAGGGAGGGAAGGGGTGAAGAAAGAAAAAGAGGAAGAAGAAAGGAAGGAAGAAAGGGAGAAAAAGAGGGAGAGAGAGAGAGGGAAAAAAGAAAAAGAGAAATAGAGAGAAAGGGAGGAGGTAAAGGAGGAAGGAAGGACCATTTGTTTAATAACAGTCATAAGTGGAGGACCTGTATGCCGACAGTAATTCATATTGTGGGGGAAATCGATCTTTAGGAAAATGTATATATTTTTCCAAAAACTAAATTAAAAATGTTTTCTAAGTGCTGGGGTTAGTTGAAAAAGATCTTAGTCCACCCCTTTGAATAGCAGAAGCCAGCAATTTGCATTATAATCCAATTTTCTATTATTTATTTATTTTTCTTGGCAGGTGAAATGGGATTGTATTAACCAGAAGTATCAAGAAAAGAAGAAAAATTACAAAAATTCAGGATATATCGTCCTCACTCAGTGTAAGGTGAGCCTTTTACCGGTCATCATTCCTGTGTCTCGGCCCGGTTTAGGTAAGACCGAACCTTAAGCAAAATTATTTTTAAAACTGCAGGTCTTCCGCTTTGAAATTCTCAAATGGGAAATGCCACTTACTGCTTAGAAAAAATATTTCTAAGCTTGAAAAAAAATGGTTCCAAGGTTATGGATCATGTCAGGCTTCAATTGCTGGAAAGTTATAACTGATCAAATTTTCAGGTAGTCCTTGACTTACGATGAGAATCGAGCCCATCATTTCTGTTGCTAAGAGAGATAGTCGTTAAGTGAGTTTTGCCCCATCTTACGACCTTTGCCACAGTGGTTAAGCGAATCACTTATGTCCTTAAATTAGTCACATGGTTGTTAAATGAATCCAGCTTTCCTGTGGATGTTGCTGGTCAGAAGGCCGCAAAAGGGAATCACATTTCCTGGGACATTGCAACCGTCATAAACATGAGTTGGTCGCCAAGCGTCATGTGACTGTAGGGGGTGCTGCAACAATCAGAAGTGGCCATTAGCCACTTTTTTTTCAGGGCCGTTGTAACTTTGAACAGTCACTAAATGAACTGTTATAAGTCGAGGACTATCTGTATTCCTTACCTACATGGCTGGCTCAGGAATTCTGGGAGTTGAAGTCCACAGGTCCTAACATTGCCATAGTTGACCAACCCTACTTCCGGGCTGTTGGTACAGTTGGTCCTTGACTTACGACCACAGTTGAGCCCCTAATTTATGATGCTAAGTGAGAAATTTGTTCAAAGTGAATTTGATGACTTTTCTTGCCATATTGGTTAACTGAATCCCTGCTGTTGTTCAATTAGTCAAACGGCCATTAAGTGAATCTGGTTTCTCCGTTGACTTTGCTTGTCAGAAGGTCGCAAAAGGGGATTTGGATGTGACCCTGGAGCTCTGCGACAGCCATCATAAATGCGAGTCGGTTGTCAAACATCCAAATATAAAAATCACGTGATCACAGGGATGCTTGAAATGTTAGGTATTTTGCCAGAAAAATATAATAAAGGGAATGTATATTTAATACAGGAAATGGGCTACTATGCCCGAATCGGGGCGAACCGGTAGCTAATTTTATCATTTTTAATAGCCGGCTCAGTGAACCGCTAAATCCCAACCCTGGCTGCCCCACTCACCCCGCCCCGCCCCTCCCAGGAGTCCCCACGCAGCCCGTTTTGGATCCCAGTTAAGTACGGGGCCTACGTGGAGGCTTGAAAAACGGGCCTCCTGGAGGCTCCGGAAGTTCGGGAAACGAGCCCATTTTCAGCCTCCAGAGGGCCTCCAGAGCCTGAGGCGGCCATTTTCCCCCTCCCAGAGCCTTGAGGAAAGCCTCCAGAGCCCGGGGAAGGCGAAAACACCCCCCTCCCCCACTGCGGTGCAGGAGGCTAACTAGGCCACGCCCACTCAGCAACCGGGCAGAGAACCGGTGGCTGAAGTTTTTGACGCCCATCCCTGATTTAATATGACATTATTTTGACAGCACAATGCTGGGAAAAAATAAGGAAAATCCTTCAGATGAAAATATAATCATAAAAACATCAGATTGCGCATAAATGGACAGGTTAATGTTGAAGATAAAGGATGAAGAAAACGCAGAGTATTTTTTAACTTGGGATTTGTTTTACCAATGGTTAGATAATAAAGGTAGAAATTAGAAGTTGGAAGAATACCATTATCTACAAGTAAGGAATACTATGACTACTATTATTATGTATATGTAAAATGATCCAGACAAACACATTATCTATTAACTACGTTAAAGAAAAATGTATAATTAAAAAAAAAATGTTCACAAGTGTGAAAAAACAGTCCCAAGTCCCTTTTTTCAGTTGTAACTTCAACAGTCGCGAAATGAACTGTTGTAAGTTGAGGGCTACCTGTATTAATATTTTGGGCCTCCGAAGAAGAAAAGCAAAGATTCTGAAGATGGCTAGCCGTCGCACCCGTCATCCTTACCATCATTGTTTCTCTGCAGATGGAGAAAGTTCACACCTTCCTAGATTACATCATGGGTGGCTTACAAATCTCCTTCACGGTAAGTTTTATAATTAAGAATTAAGAGAAAGGAGGAATCCTTATGCTGACTGTTTATTATCTATTTTTTTTTTGATTGATTGACTACCTGTATGTAGAATAGAATAGAATAGAAATAACAGAAACAGAAATAGAATAGAATAGAAATAGAAAAATAGAAAAGAATAGAATAGAATAGAATAGAATAGAATAGAATAGAATAGAATAGAATAGAATAGAATAGAATAGAATAGAAGATTGGAATAAGAATAGAATGGAATAGAATAGAATAGAATAGAATAGAATAGAATAGAAGAATTGGAAGGGACCTTGGAGGTCTTCTAGTCTAACCTCCTGCTCAAGCAGGCAACCCTATGCTATTTCAGACAAATGGCTGTCTAATCTCTTCTTAAAGGCCTCCAGTGTTGGAGTACCTACAACTTCTGGTGGCAAGGAGTTCCACTGGTTCATTGTCCTCCATGTTAGGAAGTTTCTCCTTCATTCCAGGTTGTTTCTCTCCTTGATTTGTTTCCATCCATTGCTTCTCATCCTGCCTTCAGGGGCTTTGGAAAATAGGTTGACCCCCTCTTCTTTGGGGCAGCCCCTCAAATACTGAAATACTGCTATCACGTCACCCCCTAATTCTTCTTTTCTCTAGACTATCCAACCCAGATCCTGCAACTGTTCTTCATATGGTTTCCCTTTTTGTCTCCGGGCCTTTGATCACCTTAGTTGCTTTCCTTTGCACTTTTCTAAACATCTTTTTTGTAAAATGTGGTGACCAAAACTGGATGCAGGATTCCAGGTGTGGCCTTACTAAGGCTTCACAAAGCAGTGCTAATACCTCACATGGTTTTGATTCTGTGCCGCTGTTGATACAACCCAGGAGTGTGTTCACCTTTTTGGCTGCCACCGCACGCAGCCGGCTCAAGTTTAACCTTCATAACAATAAGCAAATGTTCCTTTAGCCTCTCCTGTGAAATTCCCAGAATTTTTTTTTTTGAAACTTGCTCGGTGCCTTAAATGAGACTGGGAAAATTCCAAAATTCCAGACTCCTGGTTACAATCAGGGGTGGGATTCTACCGGTTCGGCCCAGTTTCGGGTGAACCAGTAGTTACGGTGATGATTTGGCCCCGCCCACCCGCGCGCTGCCCTATTTTGTCCTTTGTTTCCGGGGTTTTCAGCTTCGCTGTTTAGCGTGGCGCAGTGGAGTTCCGCAGCTCCGCTGATTTACTCCCCGGGACTCCAGCAGAAGGTAAGTTTTAGAGCTGAAAAAACGGCGTTTCTTAAATGCTGCGCACATGCTCACCAAACCAGTTGTTACAGCAGTTGAATCGCACCCCTGGTTACGATGCTCTAACTACTAGGCTACACCACTATCTCTCTCTCTCTCTCTCTCTCCCTTGCCCAGGTAGCCATTGATTTCACAGCCTCCAATGGTGACCCCCGAAGTGAACATTCACTCCATTTCATCAACCCCCGGGAGCCCAACGAATACCTGAAAACTTTGTCATCCGTGGGCGAGATCTGCCAGGATTACGACAGGTACAGGATAGGCTTGCGCCTGGAATGTTGGAACTATAACTCCCAGAATTCTCCCTGCCCCCTATCCGGATGGGAAATTAAACTGCATTTTCTCTTCCAGTGATAAACGGTTCCCGGCCTTTGGTTTCGGAGCGCGAACCCCTCCTGATTTCAAGGTAAGACTCCCGAGATCCGATGAAGACAAATTGTTCCCTTTTGGGCTCCGGGTTTGAATCCTCGCTCCTGTTTTATTTTGTTTTGTTTTGTTTCCTTTTCTTGGATAGGTGTCTCACGATTTCGCCATCAACTTCGATCCGGAGAATCCCGAATGTGAAAGTAGGAAGGATTGTGTTATTTTGGTGGAATTGTGTGCTCTTGTGCTATCTGCTGATTTTTATTTTTTTTAAAGAAAGATTTGTGGGTTTAAAAACCCAGAGTCACTTGGTGGAGCTGGCGGAAGGAAGGAAGGAAGGAAGGAAGGAAGGAAGGAAGGAAGGAAGGAAGGAAGGAAGGAAGGAAGGAAGGAAGGAAGCAGGCAGAAGGGTGGAAAAAAGGAAGGAGGAAGAAGGGTGGCAGAGGAAGGAAAGGAAGGAAGGAAGGAAAGGAAGGAAGGAAGGAAGGA